TTTCAACTCGCAGAAACTGCACGGATCCGAACTCAACTACTCGCCCTACAACGGCGAGCTGCTGTCGATCACCCGCCACCTCGACAAGTTCAAGAACTACCTCGTCGGCCGCAAAGTCTTCCTCCACACCGACCAGAAGGCGCTCAAGCACATCCTCGACTCCAAGACCCTCAACAAGCGCCAACAGCGAGCCATCGACACGATGCTGGACTTTGACCTCGAGATCCAGTGGATCCCCGGCTCGTGGAACAAGGTCGCCGACGTGCTCTCGCGCACACCGACAGCCATCTCCAAGGCCGTCCAAGTCTCGATCATCAACGCGATTGTCAACCTCGGACCCTCGCCCGACGATCTCTTGGACACCATCCGCACTCAGTACAGCTCCGACCCGATCCTGTCAGCACTGATCTCGGTCCTCCGCGACAACTCGACCGACGGACTCAAGCCGTGGATGAAGGCACAGCTGCACCGCTTCTCACTTCGACACGGGATTCTCTACTTCGACTCGACCCGCATCTGCATCCCCGGCAAGGACCTCCGCATCTCGATCATCAAGGACCACCACGACTCTGTCTGTGCAGCTCACCCCGGCACCAACACGCTCTACAAGGCCATCTCGACACACTACTACTGGCCCGCCATGTCCAAGGACATTGCCGAGTGGGTCTCGCACTGCGACATCTGCCAGCGAGCCAAGATCCGACGACAACAAGCATACGGTCACTTCTCCCGGATCCCTGTGGCCACCCGCAAGATGGACACTGTCGCCCTCGACTTCATCCTCGGACTCCCGCCTGTCACGGACTCACTCTCGGGACGCACCTTCAACTCGATCACGATCTTTGTCGACTCCCTCACCAAGTACGTCGTCCTGGTTCCTGGCAACAAGACCGACTCGGCCGAAGACGTCGCCCGCCAGTACTTCCGCGATGTCTTTGTGCACTTTGGACTCGCCGGCACTTTCATCTCGGATCACGACACACGCTTCCGGTCGGCCTTCTGGACAGGACTTAACACTCTGCTCAAGACCGAACTCCGGATCGCCTTTGCCCACCACCACGAGGCCGCCGGACAAGTCGAACGCTTTGTGGCAACCGTCGCCGAGGCCATCCGCTGTTCGACTCTGGCCCTCGGCTCCCGCTGGATCGATCAAGTGCCATACATCCAGTTCGCGCTCAACTCACACAGCTCAGCTTCGACTGGACATTCGCCCTTCTTCCTGATGCACGGTCAGCATCCTCGCACTCCTGCCAACACCGACATCATCGCCGAGTCCAACCCTGCAGCACAGTCGATCGAGGAGATGCAAGCGACTCTGGACTTGGTCTCGGACAACATCGGCAAGGCCCAGGACCGGGCCCTGTACTACGCCAACCGACATCGACGCGATATCAGCTACGACATTGGCGACCAAGTCCTGATCGACACGACCGCGTATCACTTCAGCACGGACGACGTCACACCCTCCAAGATGCGGATGCCGTACTTGGGACCCTTCAAGATCATCGAGAAGATCGGAACGACTGGATATCGACTTCGACTCCCGAGGACCCTCCGATTTACAACCGAACTCCCCGCTTCCGCCCTCGTCCCCTACAACACACCATCGACCGACCAACTTGTGTTTGATGAACCCGGACCCAACCACAACGACGAATCAGTGTTCGAAGCGATCATTGGACACAGGATCAACCGACGACGTCGACTTCCTGGATATCGACACGAGTTCTTGCTCCGCTGGCAGGGATACGACCCATCTTACGACTCGTGGGCACCACTGGCCGAACTCTTGGATGGAGGACTCGCAGATATCCACGACTTCCTCAGCCGCAACCGCAACCTTCCGGAAATGGACACACTGATCGACCTTTGCCAAGCACAAGTGCAACGCAACTCGGGATCGAAAAATTGATGGTTTGACTTGAGCACAATTTTTCTGGGGGGGATGTCACAGATCGCTCTGCCCGCCTAGCTGCACCGTCGCACTTGTGTCACTGTTTGCGTCGCACACTTTCCTTTTCCTTTGTCCTGTGACGCCTTTCCTTTTTCCTTGCTCTCATGTTGCACACGCCGCTCTGTTTTCCCTGCATTTGTCATCGACCATGCATTAGTCAGACGCTGTGTCACCCGCATTTGTCAGCCACCGAGCATTTGTCAGACTTTCACATGTTTCTCCGGTTAGCCGTTGCTGCCTGGCTGCTGTCCCGCCGCCTCCGCTGCTTCGCCCCCGCTGCGGCAGGCTTCGCCTCCGGGACCGCCAGACAGATAAATAGCCCGCCTTCACCCGCTCATGTTTCTGGTCATCACCTTCGACCCCAGACACACTTGACTCTAGATCCTAGCCTCGCTAAGATCAATAAAACCCTTCTCTATCTTTTTCTTTTGATCTCCTCTTGATCCCGTGATCTGACAGTTGGCGAGGCCGAAGGGCATCACAAGCCACTCAAAGTGGCCGTACTTGGTCCTGAAGGCCGTCTTGGGGGTGTCGGCGTCGGCAATGCGGATCTGGTGGAATCCGCGTTGCAAGTCGAGCTTGGAGAAGACACGGCACTTGGACAGGCGGTCGATGATCTCGCGCATGTTGGGCAGCGCGGTGCGGTCCTTGACGGTGATCTTGTTGAGGGCGCGGAAGTCAAAGACGAGTCGGAACTTGTCGCCCTGCTTGACCCAGAAGATCGGTGCGCCGAAGGGCGAGACGGACTTGCGGATGTGGCCGATCCGGAGCAATCGGTCGAGTTCGTCTTTGAGACGAGCGAGTTCTTCGGCCGACATTTGGTAGAGCGACGACCAGGTTGGCTTGGCAGAGTCGTCGAGTCGGATGTTCATGTCGATGCCGGGTCGGTGAGGCGGGAGTTCCTTGAGTTCGTTGAAGGCATCGCGGTACTTTGCGATGATGGATCGGTGTTCGGGGGTCAGTGGTTCGAGGACACGGGCAAGTTGGGCAACGGGGTCGTAGGGTTCAACAGCAACTGTATTCAAGTCACTGCTCAGAGTACAAACATACACGGCGCCGGGAGTCGAAGCCAGTGCGTTGATCTGCTGGGTCGACATGTGGTACTGGGATCGGAGTTCGAGGGTCGTGAGTGGCATTCCGGTGTCGGGTCGCGATGCCGTCCAAGTGTGGTGCTTCCCGTCGATCGAGAACTTGATTCGGTTGGAGGGCCAGTCGATCTCGGGGTTGGTCTGGTCGAGCCAGTTCTTGCCGAGGATAACGTCCCAGGTGAGTGGCGCGGTGAAGAGGTTGATGCGGGCGTGGTAGTCGTGGATGGTGAGGTCGACGGGATCGGTGACGGAGGACGGGAAGGACTTGCCGTTGGGCATCGTGACGGCGTTGGCGGTGGTCTTGGTTCGAAGGTCGAGGGTCGAGGCGAGGGTCTCGGAGATGTGCGAGTTGGTCGCACCAGGGTCGATGAGGACGGTGATCGGGGAGCCGTTGAGGGTGGCGTCGATCACAAGCAGTCCCTTGCCGTGGTTGGCGGCAATGCGGTGGGGTTCGTCGATGAGAGAGTTGATCAGGTGAGGTCCGGTGGCGAGAGTCAATAGTTCAGCGTCGGGGGTCGGAGTCGGATGGCGGCAACTCGCCGGGTCCTTCAGAGGTCGTAGTATCCAGGGGTTGCCGCCTCGTCGTTTCCCTGATCTTCGTAGAAGGTGGCCTGGTCGGCGGTCTCGACGATGGCGTTGATGCGGGGCTGGTTCAAGGGACACTGCGAGGCGATGTGGCCGAACTTGCGGCAGCGGAAGCAGCCTCCGTTACGGCGGAGGTACTCCTTCTCGCGGTCGGTGAGCTTCTTGATCGGGCGCATGTCGACGTTGTCGAGGTCCATGGCGTTGGGGTCACGTGCGGGAGGCTGGGTCGGCTGGAAGGCGGGACGAGGAGGACGGACCATTGGGCGGAACTGCGGCTGACCAGGTGGAGCGCGGAAGAGAGGAGGTCGCTGGAACTGGAGCTCGCGGAAGGGTTGATCGCGGAACTGAGTGCGAGCGGGCTGCTGCATCAGGGGTTGCGATTGACCCATAATGGACTCGTATCGCTCGGCGAGGGCCATGGCATCTTCGAGGGTGGCTGTGTTGGAGTCAAGCTTCCATTCGACTTCGATGCGCACCCTGTGCTTGAGCTTGGTGAGGTAGCGCTGCAGGTTCTGGCGGTTGTTGCTGAAGTGGGGCAGCTCGAGGAGGAGATCGCGGAAGCGAGAGTTGAACTGCTCGACGGAGCCGGTGTGGCGCAGTGCTTCGAACTCATCCTCGGTGGTGCGCAGCGAGGTGGACGGAAGGAAGGTGTCGCGGACGAGGGACAGGACGGCGGCCGGGGTCAGGTTGTCGAGTTGCTTGCCCTGGGACCAGAGGCGCCACCAGGTCTTGGCCTTGCCCTTGAGGTTCATGGCGACGGTGGCGACAGCGGTGGCGTCATCGAGACTGTGGAAGGCAATGTACTCGGTCATTGAGAAGACAAACTCGTCAACGACAGCAGCCTTACGCTCGCCAGTGAAGGCGTCGGGGAGCGGGATCTTGGGACGCTTGAAACCGGGAGGGACCGTGGGGAGATTCGGCTGGGCAGTCAGGGCGGAGAGGACCAGGGCGCGGTCCTCGAGCGATAGTTGTTCAAGGGCCTGGAGACAGGCATTGACGGCGGGATCGTCCGATGCTACCATGTCAGATCACGGGATCAAGAGGAGATCAAAAGAAAAAGATAGAGAAGGGTTTTATTGATCTTAGCGAGGCTAGGATCTAGAGTCAAGTGTGTCTGGGGTCGAAGGTGATGACCAGAAACATGAGCGGGTGAAGGCGGGCTATTTATCTGTCTGGCGGTCCCGGAGGCGAAGCCTGCCGCAGCGGGGGCGAAGCAGCGGAGGCGGCGGGACAGCAGCCAGGCAGCAACGGCTAACCGGAGAAACATGTGAAAGTCTGACAAATGCTCGGTGGCTGACAAATGCGGGTGACACAGCGTCTGACTAATGCATGGTCGATGACAAATGCAGGGAAAACAGAGCGGCGTGTGCAACATGAGAGCAAGGAAAAAGGAAAGGCGTCACAGGACAAAGGAAAAGGAAAGTGTGCGACGCAAACAGTGACACAAGTGCGACGGTGCAGCTAGGCGGGCAGAGCGATCTGTGACACCGCCCCTGTGGACTCGTCCGAGTCGACTTCTCACCAACTCAACGCCGTTGCTGCCCCGGCTGGCACCGCTTCATCGGCAGCAGCTTCCCAGGCAACGCCTGCGATCGACAACGATGCCCTCAACCGATTGAAGCTTGGAGCCGGAGGCGCTGCTCCTTTCCAACTCAATGCTGCCGCTGCTTCCTCCGACACATCCAGCCCGACCGACTCTCCGCCCCCAACCAGCGGCAGCCCCAACACGGGCGTCTTCATTGGCATCGGCTCGGCCGCTGGTGTGCTCGGTGTCGCCGGTGCTGCCTATGCGGCCTTCCGCAACAAGCTCTTCAAAAAGTCGTACGCTGCCGCATCGCAGAAGGCGGACGAACCCTTTAGCACCAAGCTTAACATCATGAAGCCCAGTTTCTCCGCCCCCTCTTCGTCTTCCTCTTCCTCGTCCGCTTCTCGCTCGACTGCGCCCACAGTTGGTCAAGATGGCAAGGCTACGCACCCATTCCGGGCTACGCTGCCGGATGAACTCAATGTTAGCGTGGGCGATGTTATCACTGTCGAGGAGGATTTTGGCGACAACTGGGGCCGCTGCCGCAATGTGTTCTCTAATGCCGTTGGCGTCGCACCCCTGACGATCTTTGTTCGCAAGTAACGCGGGTCGCCGAGCCCGCAGTCATGGGCTTTCTCGATAGCTCCCGCTATTGACCTTTGCGAGTGCGCGGGCGATCGGGCCAAGTTTGCTCAACAATGAATAATCATTTGGAAAAAAACATGAATCTGGGGCTGCAGATCCGTGGAGGTTATTCGCAGAATTGGCTCTGGGAAGGAGCGGGTCGATACTGGTGGGTGGGTGGCGATTGTCAGACATGAATCGATGGAGCAGTCGACGTATTGCTGCTTGGCGGGGCCATCGCGAGCCGACTCCTATTGCCGCAACCGAATGCTACAGCGATCTCATCCAGAAAGAAACGGGACAGCCACTCTCTGGCATGAGCGATACAGGACTGCTGATCCATTGGCTCCAGTGAGGCCATGAGATTGTTTCCCGTCCTGGTTGGCAATCCCTTTGTGTGGTGTATTCACTCGACTCTCTGGACTGCTCCATGGTGTATCAATATCAAGATACTCGACCTTCTCGAGTCACTTGGCTTCCCGGCACTGTGAGCACACCTGGAGATCGAGTCGCTTGAATCGCCGTCGCCGAGTGGTGTCATCTCTTGCGGGGAGCCATCTGTGCGAGAAAGGAGCGACGATGGCTGGTTCTGCCCTTGGGCAAGAACGAGTATCCTCAAATCCGGCGCATTTGGGGCTGGCAGCGATGCCCACAATGACATCCTTGATTCAGATCCAGAGTCGCATCACAGATTGGCAGTACGAAAGTCGAGGGTGTGATGAACAGTCATACCCAGCGCGATATTTTGAGGCAATAACATATTTACTCAACGATCAAAATCCGGGGTGTCCCGTGTTTATTGGAGACGCTATCTGCCCTGTGAAGAAGCACAAGCACGTCGCAGCAGTAACTTGCTTCATCCACACAGAGCCTGGCCTGTGTTAATGTCGGCGTTTTGTCGGCACATTCATCCGAACAGCAAACCCAGATCACACCAAGAGTGCTCCATATCAAAGCGCATTCGCCTCCCCCCCCCTGCTCCCGCCTTTCTCTTTCACATCCTCCCCTGGTCTGAAGAAGCGCAAGCCTTCCTTCCGTTCACGTCCCATTCGAGTGCACAACTGTCGCTGAGCTGTGGCCTGCACTTCGCTTTGCGACCCACGGAAGTGTCTCGGTCTACTCAATCGTGCCGCCTTGTTCCTCGCATCCACACCCCCGTGGAATGCATCGCTTTCCACTCCGGCTCGGCTTGATCAAATCTATTCACTCGTCTCGAGCGTGCTCAACTATCTGTGCTCAACTATCTGTGCTCAACTATCTGTGCTCATCGCCTCAGCCCAGCCTCTTTCTCGTGCTCGCTTCGTCGTCCTCGTCGCTCGTCACCATTCGTTCCTCACGCCCCTATTCCCACCCGACCAACCCGTTCCCGGTCCAACCTCATTCGCACTATAGTCCCGCCAAGAGTCCCAGCCCTCCTGAAGAGACTCATCTCTGTTGCGTGTCGCACTCACGACTCTGAGTATCTGTCACAGATCGCTCTGCCCGCCTAGCTGCACCGTCGCACTTGTGTCACTGTTTGCGTCGCACACTTTCCTTTTCCTTTGTCCTGTGACGCCTTTCCTTTTTCCTTGCTCTCATGTTGCACACGCCGCTCTGTTTTCCCTGCATTTGTCATCGACCATGCATTAGTCAGACGCTGTGTCACCCGCATTTGTCAGCCACCGAGCATTTGTCAGACTTTCACATGTTTCTCCGGTTAGCCGTTGCTGCCTGGCTGCTGTCCCGCCGCCTCCGCTGCTTCGCCCCCGCTGCGGCAGGCTTCGCCTCCGGGACCGCCAGACAGATAAATAGCCCGCCTTCACCCGCTCATGTTTCTGGTCATCACCTTCGACCCCAGACACACTTGACTCTAGATCCTAGCCTCGCTAAGATCAATAAAACCCTTCTCTATCTTTTTCTTTTGATCTCCTCTTGATCCCGTGATCTGACATGGTAGCATCGGACGATCCCGCCGTCAATGCCTGTCTCCAGGCCCTTGAACAACTATCGCTCGAGGACCGCGCCCTGGTCCTCTCCGCCCTGACTGCCCAGCCGAATCTCCCCACGGTCCCTCCCGGTTTCAAGCGTCCCAAGATCCCGCTCCCCGACGCCTTCACTGGCGAGCGTAAGGCTGCTGTCGTTGACGAGTTTGTCTTCTCAATGACCGAGTACATTGCCTTCCACAGTCTCGATGACGCCACCGCTGTCGCCACCGTCGCCATGAACCTCAAGGGCAAGGCCAAGACCTGGTGGCGCCTCTGGTCCCAGGGCAAGCAACTCGACAACCTGACCCCGGCCGCCGTCCTGTCCCTCGTCCGCGACACCTTCCTTCCGTCCACCTCGCTGCGCACCACCGAGGATGAGTTCGAAGCACTGCGCCACACCGGCTCCGTCGAGCAGTTCAACTCTCGCTTCCGCGATCTCCTCCTCGAGCTGCCCCACTTCAGCAACAACCGCCAGAACCTGCAGCGCTACCTCACCAAGCTCAAGCACAGGGTGCGCATCGAAGTCGAATGGAAGCTTGACTCCAACACAGCCACCCTCGAAGATGCCATGGCCCTCGCCGAGCGATACGAGTCCATTATGGGTCAATCGCAACCCCTGATGCAGCAGCCCGCTCGCACTCAGTTCCGCGATCAACCCTTCCGCGAGCTCCAGTTCCAGCGACCTCCTCTCTTCCGCGCTCCACCTGGTCAGCCGCAGTTCCGCCCAATGGTCCGTCCTCCTCGTCCCGCCTTCCAGCCGACCCAGCCTCCCGCACGTGACCCCAACGCCATGGACCTCGACAACGTCGACATGCGCCCGATCAAGAAGCTCACCGACCGCGAGAAGGAGTACCTCCGCCGTAACGGAGGCTGCTTCCGCTGCCGCAAGTTCGGCCACATCGCCTCGCAGTGTCCCTTGAACCAGCCCCGCATCAACGCCATCGTCGAGACCGCCGACCAGGCCACCTTCTACGAAGATCAGGGAAACGACGAGGCGGCAACCCCTGGATACTACGACCTCTGAAGGACCCGGCGAGTTGCCGCCATCCGACTCCGACCCCCGACGCTGAACTATTGACTCTCGCCACCGGACCTCACCTGATCAACTCTCTCATCGACGAACCCCACCGCATTGCCGCCAACCACGGCAAGGGACTGCTTGTGATCGACGCCACCCTCAACGGCTCCCCGATCACCGTCCTCATCGACCCTGGTGCGACCAACTCGCACATCTCCGAGACCCTCGCCTCGACCCTCGACCTTCGAACCAAGACCACCGCCAACGCCGTCACGATGCCCAACGGCAAGTCCTTCCCGTCCTCCGTCACCGATCCCGTCGACCTCACCATCCACGACTACCACGCCCGCATCAACCTCTTCACCGCGCCACTCACCTGGGACGTTATCCTCGGCAAGAACTGGCTCGACCAGACCAACCCCGAGATCGACTGGCCCTCCAACCGAATCAAGTTCTCGATCGACGGGAAGCACCACACTTGGACGGCATCGCGACCCGACACCGGAATGCCACTCACGACCCTCGAACTCCGATCCCAGTACCACATGTCGACCCAGCAGATCAACGCACTGGCTTCGACTCCCGGCGCCGTGTATGTTTGTACTCTGAGCAGTGACTTGAATACAGTTGCTGTTGAACCCTACGACCCCGTTGCCCAACTTGCCCGTGTCCTCGAACCACTGACCCCCGAACACCGATCCATCATCGCAAAGTACCGCGATGCCTTCAACGAACTCAAGGAACTCCCGCCTCACCGACCCGGCATCGACATGAACATCCGACTCGACGACTCTGCCAAGCCAACCTGGTCGTCGCTCTACCAAATGTCGGCCGAAGAACTCGCTCGTCTCAAAGACGAACTCGACCGATTGCTCCGGATCGGCCACATCCGCAAGTCCGTCTCGCCCTTCGGCGCACCGATCTTCTGGGTCAAGCAGGGCGACAAGTTCCGACTCGTCTTTGACTTCCGCGCCCTCAACAAGATCACCGTCAAGGACCGCACCGCGCTGCCCAACATGCGCGAGATCATCGACCGCCTGTCCAAGTGCCGTGTCTTCTCCAAGCTCGACTTGCAACGCGGATTCCACCAGATCCGCATTGCCGACGCCGACACCCCCAAGACGGCCTTCAGGACCAAGTACGGCCACTTTGAGTGGCTTGTGATGCCCTTCGGCCTCGCCAACAGTCCCTCCGTGTTCCAAGCCGCGATGAACGACATCTTCCGCGAGTTCATCGACGACTTTGTGTTCGTCTACATCGACGACATCCTGATCGCATCCGAGGACGAGGACCAGCACATCCGCCACATCGAACTGGTCCTCGACAAGATCCACCGACACGGCTTCAAGATCCGACCCGAGAAGTGTTCGTTCTTCAACTCGACCGTCACCTATCTCGGCTTCATCATCGGCGAAGGACGCATCCAAGTGCATCCCTCGCGCATCGACGCCATCAAGAACTACCCGCGACCAACGACCGAACACGAACTCCGCAGCTTCCTCGGCTTGACCAACACCATCATGAGCTTTGTCCCTGGCTACGCTGCCCTCGCCGGTCCACTCTCGACTCTGATCACCACCCGCTCCGCCAACTCGACCAAGTCCGTCGTCTGGGACGACAACGCCATCGCCGCCTTCGAGCAGCTCAAGTTGCTCTCGCCTCAGTCGCTGCACATGGTCAACCCGGACAAGGACATTCACCTCTTCACCGACTGGTCCGAGTCAAGCGCATCGATTGGTGGATGGATCGGGCAGGACATGGACGGATCCGGCACGGTGCGCCCCATCGCTTTCAACTCGCAGAAACTGCACGGATCCGAACTCAACTACTCGCCCTACAACGGCGAGCTGCTGTCGATCACCCGCCACCTCGACAAGTTCAAGAACTACCTCGTCGGCCGCAAAGTCTTCCTCCACACCGACCAGAAGGCGCTCAAGCACATCCTCGACTCCAAGACCCTCAACAAGCGCCAACAGCGAGCCATCGACACGATGCTGGACTTTGACCTCGAGATCCAGTGGATCCCCGGCTCGTGGAACAAGGTCGCCGACGTGCTCTCGCGCACACCGACAGCCATCTCCAAGGCCGTCCAAGTCTCGATCATCAACGCGATTGTCAACCTCGGACCCTCGCCCGACGATCTCTTGGACACCATCCGCACTCAGTACAGCTCCGACCCGATCCTGTCAGCACTGATCTCGGTCCTCCGCGACAACTCGACCGACGGACTCAAGCCGTGGATGAAGGCACAGCTGCACCGCTTCTCACTTCGACACGGGATTCTCTACTTCGACTCGACCCGCATCTGCATCCCCGGCAAGGACCTCCGCATCTCGATCATCAAGGACCACCACGACTCTGTCTGTGCAGCTCACCCCGGCACCAACACGCTCTACAAGGCCATCTCGACACACTACTACTGGCCCGCCATGTCCAAGGACATTGCCGAGTGGGTCTCGCACTGCGACATCTGCCAGCGAGCCAAGATCCGACGACAACAAGCATACGGTCACTTCTCCCGGATCCCTGTGGCCACCCGCAAGATGGACACTGTCGCCCTCGACTTCATCCTCGGACTCCCGCCTGTCACGGACTCACTCTCGGGACGCACCTTCAACTCGATCACGATCTTTGTCGACTCCCTCACCAAGTACGTCGTCCTGGTTCCTGGCAACAAGACCGACTCGGCCGAAGACGTCGCCCGCCAGTACTTCCGCGATGTCTTTGTGCACTTTGGACTCGCCGGCACTTTCATCTCGGATCACGACACACGCTTCCGGTCGGCCTTCTGGACAGGACTTAACACTCTGCTCAAGACCGAACTCCGGATCGCCTTTGCCCACCACCACGAGGCCGCCGGACAAGTCGAACGCTTTGTGGCAACCGTCGCCGAGGCCATCCGCTGTTCGACTCTGGCCCTCGGCTCCCGCTGGATCGATCAAGTGCCATACATCCAGTTCGCGCTCAACTCACACAGCTCAGCTTCGACTGGACATTCGCCCTTCTTCCTGATGCACGGTCAGCATCCTCGCACTCCTGCCAACACCGACATCATCGCCGAGTCCAACCCTGCAGCACAGTCGATCGAGGAGATGCAAGCGACTCTGGACTTGGTCTCGGACAACATCGGCAAGGCCCAGGACCGGGCCCTGTACTACGCCAACCGACATCGACGCGATATCAGCTACGACATTGGCGACCAAGTCCTGATCGACACGACCGCGTATCACTTCAGCACGGACGACGTCACACCCTCCAAGATGCGGATGCCGTACTTGGGACCCTTCAAGATCATCGAGAAGATCGGAACGACTGGATATCGACTTCGACTCCCGAGGACCCTCCGATTTACAACCGAACTCCCCGCTTCCGCCCTCGTCCCCTACAACACACCATCGACCGACCAACTTGTGTTTGATGAACCCGGACCCAACCACAACGACGAATCAGTGTTCGAAGCGATCATTGGACACAGGATCAACCGACGACGTCGACTTCCTGGATATCGACACGAGTTCTTGCTCCGCTGGCAGGGATACGACCCATCTTACGACTCGTGGGCACCACTGGCCGAACTCTTGGATGGAGGACTCGCAGATATCCACGACTTCCTCAGCCGCAACCGCAACCTTCCGGAAATGGACACACTGATCGACCTTTGCCAAGCACAAGTGCAACGCAACTCGGGATCGAAAAATTGATGGTTTGACTTGAGCACAATTTTTCTGGGGGGGATGTCACAGATCGCTCTGCCCGCCTAGCTGCACCGTCGCACTTGTGTCACTGTTTGCGTCGCACACTTTCCTTTTCCTTTGTCCTGTGACGCCTTTCCTTTTTCCTTGCTCTCATGTTGCACACGCCGCTCTGTTTTCCCTGCATTTGTCATCGACCATGCATTAGTCAGACGCTGTGTCACCCGCATTTGTCAGCCACCGAGCATTTGTCAGACTTTCACATGTTTCTCCGGTTAGCCGTTGCTGCCTGGCTGCTGTCCCGCCGCCTCCGCTGCTTCGCCCCCGCTGCGGCAGGCTTCGCCTCCGGGACCGCCAGACAGATAAATAGCCCGCCTTCACCCGCTCATGTTTCTGGTCATCACCTTCGACCCCAGACACACTTGACTCTAGATCCTAGCCTCGCTAAGATCAATAAAACCCTTCTCTATCTTTTTCTTTTGATCTCCTCTTGATCCCGTGATCTGACAGTATCCCTCCGTGCCTATCGGTGCCTCGTGTTCTTTCCACCTGAATCCTGCCGTGTCGATCTTGCGGGTGATTTTGAACAAGAACAGCGTATCGAATCCAGTCCTTATCATCGTTTTCATTATTGACAGCCTGGTCTTCCCGCGCTGCAAGAAATAGCATAGACCCCATCTAACTATTAGGCGAAACCACCATCACCACCTTCGTTATCATTGCCACCATCGGCCGAACACCACATGGCCGTCGACTCGATCCTCCAGGGAATCCGCAACCTGCTCCACACCTCGGCCGCCCGCTCGCCGACCGACCCGCGGCCACGGCCTGGTCCAAACGATCCCTCGCCCGTGCTGCCGTTGGTATCGACACCCGGCTCAGCATCCGGCTCGACACAGGCGCTGTCGACACCGATCTCCGGCCCCGGATCCCAGCGCCAGTCTCGATCGACGCCGAGTCTGGCGGTCCGCCCCAGAGCCAGCTCCACCGCCAACCCCTCCACCGGCATCAAGGCCAGCATCAAGGCCAGCATCAAAGCCAGCATCAAGGCTGGTCTCGGATCCAAGCCCGGTGCCAGTGCCGATGCCAGTGCCAGTGCCGATGCCAGTGCCGAGAGACGACGCCGAAAGCTGCTCCGGGACGAGCTGCAGAACACCCCACCCCTGTCGCAGCCAGCCTCGGTCGTCAAGATCAAGGGTCTCTTCATCCACGGCCACATCGACCGGGGTCTTGCCCTGGCCATCGCCCGCTTCGAGCGGGACTTTGGCTTCCCAAACTCGGCAAAGTCCCGAGCCGAGGTGCTGCCGGTGGTGCTGCAGTATGCGGTGCGGAGCAGGCTCTCGCGGCAGGACCAAAAGACCTTCCAGGTCCCCGAGCGGCCGCGGTCGTATGCAACATATGTGCGGCAGCTCAAGGAGGACGGGTGGAAGGGCTTTGGGGCCAAGGGGCTGTCGCTCAAGTCGATGCGAAACGAGAGCGAGCGGGACCCGGTCTCCAAGTCGATCATCAACGGTGTCAAGGTCTCGCATGTTCGCACCACATCGGGCCGCTATGCCGTGCTGGATGACGGTGTGAATCCGCCGTACAAGCTTCGCCCAAGAATGCCGACACTGTCGACTAGCAGCGGCTCAGACAGTGATGATATCGACAGCAGCGAGACCGAGGGCGATGCTCAAAACAACAGCAACCAGACCGAAGGGAGCCAGAGCAGCAACAGCAGCAGTAGCAGTAGTCTCAGCACCACCCATTCGGATTCTGAGTCTCCACCAGCAAGTGCTCCCCATGGAATCGATGTCCTTCTCACGCCATCGCTGCAGGATCCCACAGGCGACCACGGACAGCATCCCCTCAAACTGCCGCCCGGGGTTGTCAAACAATCGTCCCTCCAGCCGCACCCACCACCGTCGCCGCAGAGCGGATCTTGGATTCCATCTTCTCGTCACAGCCTGGACCATCATACCTATATTGACCGACAGCGAGACGGGCATTCCCCAGCGATCTCGCTTGGAGCTCATTCCGACCCGAACTTGTCCATAAAAACGAATTCGGAAGGCTCCTTCCCACGATCCAGCGACTCACGCTCCATCGACTCTCTCGTCGCCTCTCGGATTGCCGGAACTCCACCTATCCCGCGCACAATGAGGAAGCTGCCGGTGATTGAAAAGCTCATTGCCATGGGCCACCACTCCAAGACACGCCGACCCGATTCGGTGTACTCTGTTGGCTCAAACGGATCATCAAACTCACGATCATCTTCTAGTTCGGCCAATGGTTCGGGGCAAACCTCGGGCTCGGACTCAAGCTCGAGTCTCAAACATGGTGCCGGCCTGGATTTCACAGAGGACAAAGTCGGTCCAGGCGGCGACGGACAAAAGGTGTGTATTGCTGTGTTGGCTGCCGTGATCACAAAGGATGAGCACGGACGATGAAACGTCTCGCTGGCGTGAATCTGCTGGCGTCTCGGAGCCTGGAGTTGGCGCATTTGGTCTCTAGACAACAATTTCCCTCCTTGAAGAGAGCTGCGAACCCACTGCGCGCCATCGGCTCTCACTATACATTCGAATTCGGCTGATCACATCGACGCATTCGGTGCTGACAAACTCCTCCCTTGCCTCCCACTAGCTTGCTACATCTCACGCTTCGCACAGTGATCCCCTCCCGCCTTCGTTGCCGGCCGAGCGACAAAGTTCCTCTGAGCTCCCGCCGTCGCCCTCAGTGGGCATCCGACCCCGGCGCAGTGATTATGTGCCATCACCATCAAGCCTGGACAATGTGTTAGAAGAGCCAGAGGACAACTAGTCCGTCGCAACATTTGAAGCCAACGACAAACCGAGCCGAGCAGGGCCTTTGTCATGCTCGGCAGCAGCATCATTCAGCGATTTCAGACGCTGCCTGCGATATCAGCGCAGCAAACAGATCACCATCCAATACATATCATTCCTGCTCTACGTTCCGCATTCTTGAACTTCCTGCAGCTCCTGCATCCACAAACTCCTGGTGGAGATGCAGAGCTGCCCGCCTGTTTAGCCTCCAACTCGGAGACGGCCAAACCCGTGTGCTCGCGCTATCTGTGACGTGGCTTCTCAATACGCTACTTTGAAACGTGTGTGCGTGCTTGTTCCAGTCTTCCTGCCGGTCGTCGCTCGGCTTTATTCCACCGTAGTGAATGTCATGCGCTGCTTACATATGGAGGATGGAGACTCTTAGCGGGAGACTTGGAGACACAAAACTTGGCGAGTCGCCGTCGCTATAGGCGATACCATCGTCACGAGTATCGTCACGAGCATCGAAAGGGCCCAGGCGATGTAGATGGTCATGTCGCAATCTTCATGCTCAGTTCGTATCGAAGGTATTCCTTGTAGCAGCTAACAACTGAAGGCGGCGGCGTGCTGTTGGTGTCCTCGTTCTTTTGGAGCTGCATCCAGACATCGTACTGTTTGAAGAACTCGTTGTAGACCGACGACAGGACGTTGTCGACGACTCCAAAGAGCGACACATTCCAAACGGGCGAGTTTTTCATTTCGCGAACAACCTAGCGTCGCATAGATAGAGCATCATCAGATGTGTCGTATTGTCGCAGAACCTCGCCCCAGCCATCCTCTTGATCAGCATCCCCGCCATTCACACTAAGCGAGAGACAGGGCACATGCGCCTTCCTTACGATGATGTTATCTCGCTGTTCAGGCGGCCACATTGCGCTGTTGTCGTCCACAATGAGAGGCTCCACGGGCATCACCAGGCTGCGGTCGGACTCGATGCGGACGAGCGGAGGCGAGCAGTACGCAAAGAGGGAAAGCAAGTCTTTGGGAGGACGCTTCTGGTTTGAGCTGCCTTGGATGTGGACGTACTCGGCTCGGGCAGAGTACAAAATGCCGCGGATTCGCGTCCGATGGGGATCTAGCACCTGGACCACCATATCGACGTATGACTGGTCCCCAAGCGAGCAGACTGAGATCTCAAAGAGCCTGAACCAAATACCGCGATGCGGGGCAAAGCGCGTTAGCGTGAGCGAAGACAGCGCGCGGCTGTGTCGGGAATGCCGCCTGCAACCGACACAGGACCATGGCTCACCTTTGCGCCCATTCAAGGAACTCGTGGACACGGTCTGCCAGCACGACTCGGCGACCATCCTTCAGCTGAACGACTCGTTGTGGAACTGAAATGCGTGAGGCACAACAGAGAGGAACAAACAATGTCAAGTGTATGCACAACGGCCGGCTCGGGAATGTGCTGCAGTGGACGACACACGACAGCCAAAAGCGCCTGTTCGATCGAAATCAAGAGCCATCCCAGGCAAAAGCCATTTCAGCCCTGGACACCGAGTGGGTGGCTTTGACTTACCCGTTTGTGCATCCGCCTCGGAGACGTATCGGCCTGGCTCATTTCCGACAACTCGAACAAGGGTGTCGTCCAGATCGAGCACGAGCGGCAGCTTTCGGCCCCTCAAGAGCGCCTCGGCTCGGCTTTGGATATCGCGCTGTATATCTGAGCCTCGACATAAATAGCCCAGGATATTACTGCGATTCGTCATGAGTAGACAACCAATTGAGTCGATACGAGAGTCGGAGTCCCCGAAATTAGGCAAGGCGTAAGAATCCCAAATCACAATCCACGCGAGAGTGTTTGAATAAACGAGCGTCGCTCCATGTCGTCGAGATGTCATCGGAACGTATGAGCAGTCGGATCTCGCTCAGGTGCCACATCCGAATCCAGGTGCGAGGGAGCGGTTTAAAGCCCATTCTCCTTCAGCGTTGGTAGTATCGGACCCAGCCAAGAGAAAGCCATTTCACCCAATTATCCTGGGCTGTCGTAGAGACGGAACCCAAAGACGGTAACTTACGTGCGTTCTTTGGTCGGTTTCAGATGGAGCTCCCAAAACTCTCCTGAATTCTGTTCCAGAATTGATATGTATGTGCTCTGGTGGGACCGTTGTTGGGCAATGTGAGAACAAGACTGACACGGAGGCTTGTGTTTTTCGGAATCAGAGTAGTTGATAATGGTGGCGAGACGCTGGGAAGTGCTTTACCTTTCGCATTCCAGCAATCTCTTTGAAGAAGATATGGTCTGGCTCCGGCCAGTCAAAGACAATCGTGTGTGGAAGGTTCCACTGCTGCAGGATGTTGAAGTAAGACCTCGGGAGGGCCGGGCCAAGTTCGTACTTTTCTTCAAGCGAGAACTTGAATCCAAGGGGGGGCATGTTGATTTCGCGAGTGTTGAGCGTCACAAAAGTCACCGCCGGCGATTTACTGTTGACACAGCGCTCGACCGGCAGCTTCAAGATGGGCTTCCATTGTTGTGGAAGCACGGGGGGCTGGTCGATGGAAAACGGGATGCATTTTTTCGAGGTCGACACGGCTTCCAGTGATGAGTTGTCCAAGTGCATGAACAGGCCAGTCCAAAATCAAGCAGAGAATCAGTTGTCGCACGAGGTCAGTGGATCGCAGGGCAATATCCACGCGAGCCAAGACCGGGGTATTGGGGTACATCGAGGAGTCGGGCTGGGGTCTACCTTCAGATGCATCGGCGGGATTCATCCGCGCTATCTTGCTGGAGCTGGACAGATCGTCCGATGTCGAATTGGTAGAGGATACCGCCATCGAAAGGCACCGTTTTCGGTTATAGATGCTCCAGGACAGCGAAGCAGCCAATGTTCTCGCTGACAGGGCATCTTCCTTTGAAACGGCGCCGGGCCGAGGGAGCTGGGTCCATGTTGGTTTAGGGATTGGAGGCGGGCCAAGTGGGGCAGGCGGGGCCGGTTGAGCAAGTGGCTGTGGTGCTCTTGGCTCCTGTGGCTGTGGTTGTGGCTGTGGTTGTGACTGCGGCTTGATTTGCTGTTTTTGAAGCGGACGGGGTATTGGCGGATCATCGCGGGGCTTTATGGAAGCAGCAGCGCTGGTGGTTGCAGGTCGGGGCGAGGCTGGAGTTGATGAAGACTTTGGAACCGGGGTGTCGACTGGCGACAGGAGGTCTGCTATTGATAGTGACATTACTGAAAGCGTTTTAAAGGAAGACAACAGTATGTTTTCGTCGGTATGGATGCGGAAACGCTGAGGCAGGGCTCGATGGACTTGCTGTGGGGATTGGTGTGTGCTGACCAGGGCCCTGAAGGCTGATGGTTGAAGACTGATGGTTAATCGAGGATACCCGCGACGGATCTGCTGGCTGCGGTCGGCTGAGACGTGGATGCGGCGATCGGGCAGAGTCGGGTCAGTTGGACCATCGACGTGGCTGGGATGGCCGGTGCGGGTGAGTCGACAGGGCCGGCGAAGGCAGGGCCGACGATCGGATCAAATCCACGACGGAAACAGGGGCCGGCGACAGGCTTGGTCTTTGTCGCCTGGCGGCAGTCTCTTCTCGTGCGCTCTCGTGCGCTCTCGCGTGCTCTCGCTGCGGCGAGGAGGCCTCTCGGCGGCTCGGTGGCGGTGGGCCACGGGATCAGCCCTCCCGGCTTTGACAGATTGTTTGCCTTTCATTCGTTCATTCGTTCATTCGTTCATTCGTTCATTCGTTCATTCGTTCATTCGTTCATTCGTTCATTCGTTCATTCGTTCATTCGTTCATTCGTTCATTCGTTCATTCGTTCATTCGTTCATTCGTCGCTCCTGGCAGCTAATCGCCGTCACCTGCTTTGCCCGACTGCTCCTGCACCATGACAGCGACCACCCCAAGAGCCTCGCTGCTGTCGCCGATCCTGGCCGTCTTGGCCGCCGACTGGCCCCTTGTGCTGTTGCTCATTTTCGGAGGATGCTGCTCGAATGTCTTTACACTCGAGGTCTTGATCAGGTAGCCAAGCATCGGGGCATCTAAACACCTGCACACTTGAGCCTCTGAGCACTCTATATTGCAGCAGACCTTGCTCTCCATCGCCGCTGTCCCCACTGTCCGCAGGCAGCTGTTTGCCGCAAACGTAGTCGCATGATGATGGCTGACCGCTTCCCTCGATCCGACACCTTCGTTCTGTTCCATCGTGATGACGCAGTGACCAGCCCAAAAGTGGAGACCTGATCACATTTGCGCAGTTTCTGCTGGTTGCAGTAGAGGGTGCATTCAGCATGATCGAGCGTGCGCCCAGCGGCTCGCTCTTGCCGTTGGCCATCAAGCAGAGCAAGATCCCGCTCTCTCGCTATGCGGTCATGGTCACCATATTCTTCCTAGTCTCGGTCTTGAACAACCAAGCGCTATCATATGACATACCAGTACCGCTTCACATCATCTTTCGATCAGCCTCGCTGCTTGCAAGCATGCTCGTTGGCTGGCTGTTCTTTAGCAAACGGTAGAGTCCACAAGCCCCTGGCGCTGGCCGCTGGTCGAGCCGCTGGCAACGCTTTTGAATGCTGCTGACAAGCTTGCCCCGACATTCGCCTCGGTTGGGCTGCAATCATGACTGCGACTCTGAATCGCTTCTCTCCTGAATTCAGTTTCACATTCCAACAGATCCTGGGCACCTCGCTGATCACAGCCGGCATTGTCACAGCCACATTTGCCTCATCCAAGAGTCAATCGCACCAGTCCGTCAGTGCCGAGGGCATTTGGAGCTCAAAGTTCCTGATGGGCATCGCCATTATGACGATCGGTGTCATTCTGGCTTGTGTTCTCGGTCAGGTTCAGCAGTCCACCTACAGCAAGTATGGCAGTGCCTGGCGAGAGAGCCTGTTCTTCACCCATGCCCTATCCCTGCCCGGGTTCCTCTTCGTTGCCCCGAGCATCCTGCAGAGCGTCGAGATCTTCAATCGCAGCCCGATGATGTCACTGGCGCAGTACTTCAATCTCGGGCCCTCTACGGATTCCTTGCTTGCGCCTTTTGTGGGCTTCAATCTCGATTTCAAGCTGCCCAAGCTGTGGATCTTCCTGATCCTGAACAGCGTCACCCAGTGTAAGCCTCCTCTAACGATCGAGCAGTTGTGTCGATCTGCTGGACCTCGATGCGCTGTGTCCGCATCTGTCCTGCGGGAGGGCCCACAACGACACGGATACCCCGCCCAAGGTCTGCATTCGGTTAACCCTTCAACATATTCAACTTTCATACTGAACTTCTTGCTGGCGGCCGTCTCTCCATCGACGGACAGATGTGTGCATCTCGGGTGTTCACAAGCTGGCATCGATGACTTCGCCCGTTACCGTCAACCTGGTAAGTGCTGATCCCGCACTGGTTCGTCACGATGCAGCAAGAGACCCATCAAGCCGCCTCACAACCCAAAATCAATGACACCGTTGCTCCCACAGGTCTTGAGCGTCCGCAAGCTTGTATCGCTTTGCCTCTCGATCTACATCTTCAAGAACCCGTTCACAAGCTACCACTGGCTGGGTGTCTTTGCCGTTGCGGTCGGAACGGCGCTGTACATGACTGCATCCCAGTCTGCGAGCCATCAGCCTGTTCGTCCATTGAAGCCAAAGGCGACCAAGGAAGACTGATCGTCGATTGCGAGCTGCGAGCTGCGACCAGAAACTGCATCTTGAGGATGGAATACGTATGTATGCTGATAAACGACCTATAATACATTCATTTCAGAGCAAAGGAGCGTCCAAATACTGTGGATGAGAGATACCTTGTTTCGTGAGCAGTGTCACTCAATGGAAGCCACTCAATGGGACCCACTCGATGGGAGTCCATCGATCGGGTCCCTTCGAATCATCGCACCGCCGTCGACAATCCCGTTTCTCTGGTGCTGGAGCTGCTCGAAATCCACGAGGATTCACCGACAACGGGACTGGAGGCATATCCCTTGTCCTGCTTCGATGAGATGGACGATGGATGTGTATTCGATTCACAAGTAGCAACGCCGAATACACACTGGTGTGCCTCGTTCATGTTGCAGGCGCCGAAAGTGTGGTTCGCATTCGGCTCGATGTGTGAGCATCCAAAATACGACGGCAGCGAGTGCACATTGTCAGGCCTCGGCATCACAGGGGATAGGTACCGACTACTCTGACTGGCCTGCGAGCGCTGCACTCCGTTCGGGATTCCATCATCAACACCACATCACACCACACCGTGCACGATCATGAGCACGGGCTGCCTGCTTCGCGAGTGCATCTGTATTGGGGGGTACGACCGTAGTTTCGACAGGTGCGCTCGCTCGTGTTGAGTGGCGTGCGGTCAAGCTCTATCCCGGCTCCTCTCCTGGTCTGGCCCCTTCTCGCTATCCTTGTTGTCCTTGCCCTTCTCATCGCGATCTCGGTTCCGGTGATGCTCTTTCTCGCGCTCTCGGTCCTTGGCTCGGTCTCGATCCTTCTCGCGGTCTCGGTCTTTGTCCCGGGCTCGGTCTCGGTCCCGCTCGTGGCTGCTCTTTTCTCGATCGCGGTCGCGGGGCCGGTCGCGGTCCCTGGTCTTCTCCCGGTCCCGGTCCTTGTCGCGATGGCTATCGCCCCGGTCCTTCTCGCGGTGAGAGTCCCGATCTCGATCGCGGTGAGAGTCCTTCTCCTTATGCTCCCGGTCGCGCTCGCGATCCCGTTCACGGTGATCTCGATCCCGGTGGTCTCGATCTCGGTCTCGGTCTCGGTCGCGCTCTCGATCGCGCTCACGGTCCTTCTCTTTGCTTCGGGACTTATCCTTGCCGTCGTCATGGGCCTTGGCGGCGTCGCCGTGGTCAGCAGCAGAGGACGACCGGTGGTGTTCCGGAGTGCTGCTCTGGTGATCGTTGTGGCTGTGGATATCCTTGCCCGCGTCGCCTTTGCCGTCTTTGGCTGTGGTCTTGACAGGGGTGTGGGCGCTGTCTCGTCGAGTTCGCTCGGCACTCCGGCTGCGCTCTCGGCGTCGGCTTTCAGACTTGCGATCTGTGCTTCGCTCCCTCGATCGCGAGCGTCGACGGCCGCCATCGGATGAGCGTCTGTGCGGGCTGCGAGACCGCGATCGGCTGCGGGATGGGCGGTGGCGCGGCTTCTGTCGGGACTTGCTCGATCGATCAGGCGACCGCTCTCGCTCGCGCTTGCGTTTGATGTCGTCGGGGTTTCGTTCCTTGATCGTGACAACCGCGGTGTTCTTGGGTTGCTCGGCGTCGGTCTTGCGCTCGGCTTCGCGCTTCTTGGGCAAGGCTGGGCTGTCCGGTACCACCGCTCGCTCGCTTCGCTTTGAGTCGTCGGTCCGATCGTCGTTGCCGGTGTTAGCATTAGCATTAGAATTGACATTGGGATTGGGATTGGCATTGGCCTTGGCATTGGGATTGGCATTGGCATGGGCGCTGGCGCTGGCTACGGGCTCAGGCAACGAGGCGACGGTTGGTGTCGAGGCAGCCACCTTCAGGTAGAGCTCGCGGAACTTCTCGGCTGAGATTGTCGTCGGCCAGAACCAGCTCGCAAATTTCCACAGGTGTCGCTCGCGGGCAGCTCGGAGCTTGCCATCTGCTATCGCGCGGATGACCTCCTCGATGTGGCCGCCAATCTTGCCCATGCAAGTCTTGATAAACAGAGCCTTTTGCTGCCGTGACAGATCGTTCGACTTTTTGTTCAGCCCCTTCAGCTCGGCCCGCACGGGGCGCATAATCTCCTTGCATTCCAGCTCATCCATGGACTCGGAGAGCGACGAGCCGTCTGATTCACTGTCGCTGCGGCGGCCGGCCGACGGCTTGCCCGCCCGGGACGAGCCTGTTGCCTCGGACATGGACGCATCTGCATTGGAAACCGGGCCGCCATCGGTATCTCTCCGACGAGCACGGTTCTGGCTGTCTTTGGAGGGGGTGCGCTCGGCTCGGGGGTGACGCTTGCGCGAGTTCTTGTCGCCTGGCTTGTCCGCAGAGCCGTTGGGCGAGGCCTCGACATCCCCTTTGGCCCTGATCTTGCTCGAGAGGCTGGGTCGCTTTGCCGTCGCCGCGGCCTTCCTGGCAGGGCCATCCGACCGGACAAGCTTCCGGAGCTCCTGCTCCTCCTTGAGTACCTTGAGCAGATACTCGCCACGGCGCTGAAGGTGCAGGCTCTTTGGCAGGTTTTTCTCGCCCTTTTCGTTGCCGTTTTGGGCTGCGGTCTCGTCCTCGCCTGAGGTAGACAGGAAGAACTTGTGCTTGAAGCCCAGACTTGAGTCTTGCTGGATCAGGTCCCACGAGCCAAACCCGTGCCGGTATATGCCAACCAGCAGCATGGCATCGTCCTTGGGCAGCCACGTGCACTTCCAGTCGCGGACGGGCTTGATCTCGGAGTTGAGTCGGAAGCCGTCGTGGTTCTTGATTTCCTTCATGCGCTGATTGAGGGTCGTTAGATCGCGGACACGCTGCACAACCTGCCCAGCATTGATGGGGCTCACGCCCTCGAATGTCACCGGAACCATCTTGCTTTTGGTCTTGAGGGTCGGATCGCGGTCGGTGCCGGTGAAGCCCAGGGCCTCGATGCAGGCGTCGATCAGCCGATTCAGGGTGGCTGTGACAAACTCGGGGTCCTTGTCCTCGAGCTCGGCGTCCTTGGCAATGTCGTCGTACCGTTCTTCGACGTCGCCGAAGCGAAGCAGCGCCTTGTAGAGCGCGCGAACGTCCTTCTCGGTGAGCGTGGTGGCATCGGACTCAGTGCCGCTGCTGCGCTTGGCCTTCTTCTTGGCGCCGCTGGCCGACCGCCGCTTGCGCTTCTTGGACTGATCGTCGTCGTCGTCAGCGCCGTCGACGCCGTCGTTGATGTAGGTCATGCCCTGGACTCGGGCCTGCCGGGGAATCAACATCTCGAGCTCGGCCTTCCGGCGCTCTTCCTCCTCCGCCGCAATGGCCTGCCGGCGCTCCTGCTCTGGTATAATATCGTCCCAGTTGAGCTGGTTGACCTCGACGTCGGCAACTCGCCACTGCTCCAGGAACTCGGCGCTACCTTCGGTTGCACCTTGAGCCTCGCCCTCGGTGACCTGATGTTCGGCCCGCGACAGGATCTCGTCGAGGTTCATTTCCTCAAGCTTGTTGGAGGGGCCCTGGGCGCCCTCCTCGCCTTCTTCGCTGTGTTGCTTGAACAGGTTCTGGGCACCAAAGCGAAGGATGGTCTGCAGCTCCTCCTTGCTGGTTTCGTCCTTTTTGGAGACATGACTCTTGTCGATCAGAGTCTCTCCAGAAGTATCCATCTGCTTGATGATACAATATTCCAGAACCATTTTCCGCTTGGCACGCTCCAAGACTTCTTCCTCGACCGTATCTTTCGACACGAACCGGTAGATGTTGACAGTTTTCTTCTGGCCTGAAAGGACGGGCAAGGTGTGGGATGTGAGGAGCATGAACAGGGCGCGCAGCGTGTGCGCACAGCAAAAGCACTATGGCCGTGTCAGCCCTGGTGCTGGGTGGGTCAAAGGACAGCCTCACGAGCGATTGGAAGGTTGTTGCCTTGACCAGGCGGGCGACTGCCTCTACCACGGAGTATACAGGTTCACATCACAGACACCTACCAATACGGTGGGCGCGGGCCATGGCTTGAAGATCTGCAGCGATCCGTTCCAGATGACTCTGTTAGCAGCGGTACCGACCCACGTCCAGGCGCGCCTGTCGACGGCAGCGACACCGCAACGACCCGAGACTATGCCGGCCACCGAGATTCAGCCCTGAGTGAGGCCACGTATTGTCTGCTACCGTCCGCCATTGTCGCATCGCACAACATCCAACAGCCACATCAGATGTTGTCCGCAGGGGTCTGCCTGTCTTTGATCACACCGTTTCGCACGCCTACCGTTCTGCGGGTTCCAGTCCGAATCAAAGATAATGACTGTGTCGGCGGTTTCGAGGTTGAGGCCAAGGCCACCGGCACGAGTACTCAGCAGAAAGGCAAAATCAACACTATTCGGCGCATTGAACTGCTCCATAGCAATCTTTCGTCGCTCACTCGGAATGCTGCCGTCCAGCCGCTGGAACGGATAGTGTCGGAAGGTCAGGTAGTCGGAGAGAATGTCGAGCATCCGCACCATCTGCGAGAAGATGAGGACACGGTGGCCGCCTTCACGCAGGCGCACCAGCAACTTGTCCAGTAGCACCATCTTGCCCGAGTTCATGATGAGCCCCCGAAGCTGCTCCTCAGGCGACTGGTCCCGCGGCTCGGCCCCATCGAACAGATACGGGTGGTTGCTGGCCTTCTTTAGTTCAACCAAAATGTTGCGCAGGAACGACTTGTCGTTCACGCCGCGACTCAGCAGCGTAAAGTTCTTTGTGAAGATAGCCTTGTAAAAGTTGAGCTGCATGGGAGAGAGGTCGACGCGCAGAATGCGCTCGGTCTTGGTCGGCATCGACTTTTCAACGTCCTTTTTGAGCCGCCGCAGCATGTGGTCCTTGAGTTTGCTCTGCAGCTCGTTGATACGCTCTTCCTGGCCCTCCTGGCCGACGGTGATGTCAAAGTCGGCAAACTCGGAGAACTTGTCGGGCATCAGGAACTGGACCAGGGCCACGAGCTCCTTGACAGTGTTCTGCAGCGGCGTGCCCGTGATGAGCAGGCGGCTGCCGGTGTGGTACTGGTTTAAAACCTGATGGAGCTGCGAGTCTTGATTCTTGAGTCGATGGGCTTCATCAACGCCAAGGAATGCCCATCGGATATTTCCAAGCTCGCCCTTGTCGTTGAGGATGCCCTCGTATGTGGTCAGCAGCACGTTGAACTTGAGCCGCGGCTCCTTGGTCTTGATGGGCATATAGAACTCGTGGTCGCGGATGATTTGCTTCGAGTTGGCGCTGCCGAGATAGACCACGGTGTTGAAGTACGGAGCCCAGTGACCAAGCTCCTTCTGCCACGAGCTGATTGTCGACAAGGGAACGACGATCAGGAAGGGGCCATAGACTTGCATAGAGTTGAACAGATATGTCATGAACGAGATGGCCTGGACGGTCTTGCCCAAGCCCATCTCGTCTGCCAGGATACCGTTCTCGTTGCGATGCCAGAGATACGCCATCCAGTTGACGCCGATGATCTGGTAGTCGCGGAGATCGCCGCCTTGGATGTAGTCGGGCTGGTCGAACTTTTTGAACTCGGGCCGCCCCTTGGGATACTGCACGCTCTTGTGAGGGCCAAAGTTGTTCTGCTGCCGCGCCAGGAAGGCGTCGATATCGGCTTGGAACTCCTTCTGGATGTCGGCCTCGGGCTCCCACGTGGCGTGTTCGTATTCAAGATGCTTCCACTTGCACAGATACTCGGTTCCGCCATGCGGGTTGTGCGACGACGGATCCACTTGCCGGCTCGCAATAATGCGCTCGACAGCACATAGGTCTTTCAGGTAGTTCTGGCGCATCTCCTTCTTGATATCAACCCACTCGCCATCATCCTCGTTGGCTTGCTGCTCCAGCAGCTTGCGGTAGTTTTCGACTTTCTTGAGCCCCTTGTATTTGGCCAAGCCCTCAATCGTCTCCCAAGAGTTGTGCCGATGCGACCATCCTTTCCACTTGATCAGATACTCGATCACTGCGGGCTTGTCGCTGGGATCGTCTACCACACACAACCGGGGGGGGGGACTGGAATTAATGAATTGTGGCACTACACCACCAAGAGACAGCACTGCAATCGAAAGCTTGGCTGCCCATCGCAAGACAGCGGGCGCAAACATCGGGGACCTGCTATTCAAAGCACCTTGCAGCATACCGTCATCATCGCTTTGCTGGCTGTTGGGGCTGTCAGGACTCTGAACCGTAACGATGCGGTGATCCATGATTTGCTCGATAACCCTTCCCTCATCTGTGGGGGTATCGATGCGTCAGCTCGGGAACAACACCTGAAGCAAAAGGTCGCTCGCCGTGTGCTGCATCGCATCGTCGTTTGGCTGTGGGCTCCAGTCGATGCGTCACATCGGCTGCACGCGTTTCACCAGGATGCCCTATCTTTGACGGAGCATCGAGCCCTCGTCCACGGCAAATGCTTGCGTTCGCTCTATAATCCTCATGTTCTTGTGTCTGCACATCGATGTGCCCGCGCTCTTTGTTTGAACCACACTGGGCCTGGCGAGACACGCATCCATACAACCTACCGTCAGTCCGCTCGACAATGCCCTGCATCTTCCGCTTCTTCCGCGACTTTTCATAGTCAACCTCCTCCTCGTCAAAACCAAGCTCGTGGTCGAGCGCGGTCTCGTCATAGTTGGTTACGGAGCGGTGTCGGGTCGAAAAGCGCACCGTGTCGTATCGGTTCGAATCCTCATCGGCGGTTTGGCTGACCTTGCGGAGCCGGTTGACCTGTGACTTTTTGGTAGGGGTCTTGTTCTTTTTGGAGCTGCGCTTGGCGTTCCCCCACTCCTCGTCTTGGCTGGACGCGGATGACGGGTCGACGCTGCGGGATTCAATCTCGACGATTTCAGACTCTTCATCATCTGTATGCAGAGCTGAGAGAGGCATGGCAAGATCCGGACACGAAATCGGCGCCGGCAATTCGAAGACAAGCGCCAGTCAGCATATCGGGCTGGACATATGATCGGATATGCTCGAAAGGCCGCAGATCTGATCGCTGCGTGTTGTGGCGGATCGCACTGTCGCTGGTGGCACCCTGGATTCCAACAGGACATTTGTGGCAAAAGCCATACAGAAACAGCAGCACCAGATCCCTCGGAGGCCATGAGTCGCGAGCAAGCATCGCAGCAATCGCTGTCAAGCTTACCCCTTGTGCCTCTTCCGTTTTTCTTGAGCCTGATGGGGGTCTTGGATGCCTTGGGCTTGGAGCGGGACGCATTCCTTTTCTTTTTGTGTCGGCCGTGGTAGTCGCCATCAGAATCCGATGGGCTATTTTCCGACTCTTGATCATCCTGCAACAAAGGCCCGTCTGTAAGTGAGAGCGGCGCTGCCAGCAAAGCCTTCCTTTCAGGACCGTCATTGAATCGGAGCTCGCTGGTACGGGATCAACAACGGGCGATCCGTGGGCATTGGAGAGGAAAGTGCCGAGCACATGTCCGCGTAATCCGCTGCTGGAGATGCTACTTGTAGTTCGCGAGTCTTCCTGGCCAGCATTGCATGCGCAAGGCATCGCCGACTCCTTCTGCAAGACCGAGCGCCTCCGAGGGCTATTCTCTCATTCAGATATCGGATTGGCCAGCGCGCACCAGGTTCATAGTGGGAACTTACGATGTAGCGCACGGGATTCCGCCGATCCCGGCCAGATCGCCTCAGCCCATAGAGTTCCGCATCATACTTGTCATCTCCAGTTCCAAACTTGAATCTTTGTCGTCGCTTGGGCTTGGGCTGCGGGTGGTCATCGTCATCGTCATCGTCGTCATCATCATCGTCGTCGTCCTCCTCGTCCTCTTCATCGTCGTCGCGCCTGTGGGGCCGTGCATTCGGGCGGCCGACGGGATCGCTGCTCTCGTGGACATTGGCAATCTCGTCCGGCTCATAGTCCGAGTCCGAGTCGTGGCCATTCGGCCGATGCGAGGCCGATCGCGCAAGGGTGTCGTTGGAGTCTACCGAGCCAGATCGAGAAGTGGCTCCTGTGGCAACCTGGTAGTCGTTGTCCGAGCTGAAGATGGATTCGTCGTCGTCGTCGTCTACATCCATAGCTGTGTGGAGGCACAAAAGCGGAGCCAAGTCAGCACCAGAGTATCGAACCGATAAGGAGTGATGAATCATCGAGGCCCCTCGGCATGTATCTGA